GGGCTTGGGGGTTTAGCAGTTTAGGGGCACCCTAAACCCTAAACCCTAAACCCTAAACCCTAAACCCTAAACCCTAAACCCTATAGGGAGTTTGGGATCTTGAGTCCTAAACTCCTACAATCGAGAACCCTCAAGTCGATAACCAAGGGTACTTTGGGGGTTGAAGTTTAGGAGTTTAGGGGTTTAGGGGTTTAGGGGTTTAGGGGTTTAGGGGTTTAGGGGTTTAGGGGTTTAGGGTTTAGGGTTTAGGGTTTAGGGTTTAGGGTTTAGGGTCAAGTCGATAACCAAGGGTACTTTGGGGGTTGGGGTTTGGGGGGTGGGGTTCAGGCTTTAGGGCGTAGGGTCTGGGTTTCTGGTTTACGGCTGAGGCAATATAGGGGCCTTGATAGTCAGAATAGGGTTTTGGGTTTAGGGTCTAGGATTCATATAGGGGCCTTAATAATTAGAACAGGGTTTTGGTGTATATTATGATAAGGAACCCCCTAGGCCCCCATAAATAGGCCCGATAGTAGTTATTGGACTGCTGTAGTAAGGGTTTGGGGTATAGGGTTTAGGGTTAAAGGCGCCTCAATAATCAGAACGTTGAATAGGGCGTTGGGGGTGTACTGCAGTTTTTATATACATCTTATGTATCGATCGACAGATAGAACAGATAGATAGTAGACAGGCGGAGGGATAGATAAAGAGATGGCTGGCTGGCTTGCTGGCTGGACGGACGGACGGACGGGCGGATGGATAGATAGATGGTTGGGTGGATAGGCGGATAGACGGCCGGATGAGTAGATGGTTTGGTCGAAATACGCACATACACATGTAAGACCTGCTTGCATATGAGCACATATAACTCCAACTAATGTTCTTAGAACTTCACTTACTAAGTCCCTTGATCCTCCAAGTAAGCTTAACCTGAACCCCCAAACCCTTGAGAAAGGAAAACCCGGAACCTTAAACCCCAAACCCTTGCAGATCCCTTGTAGAACCCATGTTATAGATTCTTGGACCGTAGACTCCAAACTCTTTGAGAAAGGAAAGAGATAACTCTCTGGCCTAAACCCTAAACCCTAAACCCTAAACCCGAAACCCGAAACCCTAAACCCCTAAACCCTAAACCCTAAACCCCAAAAAACCCTTGAGAAAGGAAAGAGATAACTCTCTGAGGACCCAGCCGGAGGCTTAGGTGCTTGGTCCGGAGGCGGTGGGACCTGAGGAGCAAGGCTTTGATGTTTACATAGCTTTATAAGCATCCCACACCTAAACCTAAGCCCTAAACACCTAATTAACCCCTAAACCCTGAACCCTAAACCCCAAACCCCTAAACCCTGAACCTAAACCCTAAACACCTAATTAACCCCTAAACCCTGAACCCTGAACCCTAAACCCCTAACCCCTAAACCCTAAACCGACAGAATCTCAGTCGTCTTCAGGGTTCGGGCTCCGAGGATTTGAGGTTTCAGGCGAGCCCAAGTGCGTTGCAGAAAACCCTAAACCCGGGTTTAGGGTTTAGGGTTTAGGGTTTAGGGTTTAGGGTTTAGGGCTTAGGGTTTAGGGTTTAGTAGGCTCTAAGCTCTAAACCCTAAGCCTGAACCCTGAACTGTAAACCCTAAGCCATAAGCCTGAACCCTAAACCCTAAACCGTTCAGGGTATAGTAGACTATGACTACTAGAGAAAGGAGCCCGAAATAGTAGTACTTTTACAACGGTTTATATTAATAGGGCCCCTTGACACCCTCAGAGAACTTCAAGAACCCTCAAGACGAATCCGTATAGAAACCCTAAACCCTAAACCCTCACAAAACCCTAGACAAAAACCTTGCTTCAAAGGGGTCCTGAGAAGGAAGCCCCAGAAGAAACCTTTAACAAAAAAACTTTTGAGTGCACTTCCCTGAACCCTAAACCCTAAACCCCTAAACCCCCAGACCCTGGACGCCTAACCCCTTTAAACCCTAAACCTGTGGAGAGTTTTTGTTGTGAAAAGCTTTGGTGGGAGGTCTTTTTTAAAAGCTTTGGCGGGACGTGGTTTGGGTTTGGGTTCGCCTGTGCGTCAAGCTATTGGGGGATTCTAGTTTTCAGGGTTTGTTTAAGAAAAATAGACGACCAGGGGCGCGCAGGACCAGGAGACCACTCGGGGAAGCACGGGACCAGGGGACCGGGGGACGGCAGGACCAGGAGACCGCGGGACCAGAGGACCACCAGGGTTTTAGGGTTTTAGGGTTTAGGGTTTAGGGTTTAGGGTTTAGGGTTTAGGGTTTAGGGTTTAGGGTTTAGGGCCAAAATTTTTAAAGGACAGCCTCTCGCCAAACCTTTTAAAAACAAAAACCCCTCGCCCCCCGAAACCTTAAGCCTAAACCCCCATAAGCCCTAAACCCTACACCCTAAACCCTAAACCCTAAAGCTTAAACCCTAAACCCTAAACCCTAAACCCTAAAGCTTAAACCTAAACCCCTATAAGCCCTAAACCCTACACCCTAAACCCTAAACCCTAAACCCTAAACCCCCTTAAGCCCTAAACCCTAAACCCTAAACCCTAAACCCTAAACCCTAAACCCTAAACCCTAAACCTTGAACCTAAACCCCCCTTAAGCCCTACACCCATGAACCCTAAACCCCAAACTCCAAGAAGCTTCGAGAGCTCAGGGCCAAGGGCCCGACAAAGCGCCACGTCTGAGGCGCCACAACCGAGCCGGCCTGAAATGAGGTTTAAGGTTTAGGGTTTAGGGTTTAGGGGGGATTATTTAGGGTTTTAGGCTAAGGGAATAAGAAGTGAGTTGTTTGTTTCGCTTCTTTTAACGATTATCTAAGGAGAAAGTGTTCGTGTTGCCTCAAGTTGGGTTAAGTTGGGTTTACTACGGTGTGTTCGAGAATGGACTTTTGTCTTGAAGCGGGGCTTGGGGGACTGCCTGCAAATTAAGACCACTGTTCTGGGTACCCTGGCCCTAAACCTTAAACCTAGCCCCTACTAAACGCCTTTCTGTTGACACCTCTCTGGAGGATCTGTGGTTTGAGGGTTTGGGTTCAGTGTGTCAGCTTACAGTTTACACGTAGGGTTTTCGAGGGTCCCAGGTTCCAGGCTTAGGGGTTGGGCTTCTTGGGGTTTGGGGCTCGTTAAGCTTATCAGCAATAGCCAGTATAATCCAGCCAAGTGCGGCCCTGAAGAACCCAAGATTATGGGTTTAGGGTTTAGGGCTTTAGGGTTTAGGGTTTAGGCTTTAGGGCTTTAGGGCTTAGGGTTTAGGGCCGGGTTTAGGGTTGAGGGCGCAGGGCAAGAATAAATACACGGCAGGTCGTATTTTACTGCCTACCCATCGACCACCCACCCACCTACCTGCCAGCCTGCCTGCCGACCCACCTACCCACCTGCCGACCTAAGGCCCTGGGTGACTTCATACATACGTGTGTGGACATGTGTCGACATATATATATATATATGTAATGTATATATATATATATATACATATACATATACATATACAGTATATATGTCTATACACAGAGACCATTTGACAAAAAATAAAGTGTATATTTACATATTGCGGGAGAGAGAGATCGAGACAGAGAAAGACGTAGAAAAGGAAAGAAAGCGCGACCCATACATACATATATACACAAACACATGTATATATACACACACATATGCAGACAGGCAGGCAGGCAGGCAGGCAGGCAGGCAGACAGTCAGTGAGTCAGGCAATGCAGTCTAGATCGAGTGTTCGCGGTCTCGAGAAGCAGCCCCAGCTGCCAGCAAGCAAGGAGTGCGCCGACCAGACGATGTGTGCTTCAGCAACACGAGGGAAATAAGAGAGAGGGAGAGGAAAAGTGCGATAGGGTGCGGTTGTTCTCCCTGAGGCAGATACCACATCTGCCGACCGAATGTCCTCCGTGACCATGCGCCGAAACTTCACTTGGTTGCAATCTTATCTCACGTACGCAAGTGCATCGTTCATGCACGTACATATTCATATACAGTTGTATACATATATAACTGTGTGTATATATATATATACA